AAACCAGTCCAACTCGTCCCTGCCTCCCTAACCTGTTCTTCCTCCCACCTATCCCCTCCTCCCACCTCAAGCCGCACCTCCATCTCCTACCGACCAACCTCATCCCGCCCCCTTGACCTGTCCGTCCTCCCTGAACTGACCTATCCCCTTCCTAACTCCCTACCTACACTCACCTTTCCTGGCCGCATCCCCGCCTCTTCGACCTGTTTGTTTCCTCTCCACCTATCCTCTCCTCTGTCCCTCTTCTATCCGCCTCCCACTCTCTCCCTATTTATTTCAAAACCCCCTTCCCCTCCCCCTTTTCTGATGAAGGGTCTAGGCCCGAAACGTCAGCCTCTCTGCTCCTATGATGCTGCTTGGCCTGCTGTGTTCATCCAGCCCTGCACCTTGTTGTCTCGGATTCTCCAGCATCTGCAGTTCCTACTATCTCTGATTCGACCATATATATATTAGATGGGTTTAAAGGTTGATATCTGTTTGGTTATGTTACGAATGTTACTTTCCTGGTCATCAATTACTGAAATGGGACTCAAACCCAGAGTTCCTGTTTTAGAGACAGAGAAGGTAACCTTAGCCGAGGAGGCAAATTTTGGCCTAAATATTCCAATGGCCAGAGTTGTTGAAGACTGGAGTTGCACATTGGGACTGTGTAGAATCATTGACCCAGCTGACTCTGTGGGAGTTTCCAGAAAATTGACTATTCTGATGGACCATTCTCCTGCATCTGGAACCCATTGAAAAAGACCTTTAAAGTCTGAGAATTCAGAAAGTTATTAATCACTTAAGCGTATTAATTACACAGGAAAGCTTACAGAATGTTAAAAAAACTACTCTAATTCCTGACAACAAGGTGCAGAGCTGGATGAACACAGCAGGCCAAGCAGCATCATAGGAGCAGAAAGGCTGATGTTTTGGGCCTAGACCCTTCATCAGAAATGGGGGAGGGAAAGGGGGTTCTGAAATAAATAGGGAGAGAGTGGGAGGCGAATAGAAGATGGATAGAGGAGAGGATAGGTGGAGAGGAAACAAACAGGTCAAAGAGGCGGGGATGGAGCCAGTAAAGGGGAGTGTCAGTGGGGAGTTAGGGAGGGGATAGGTCAGTCCAGGGAGGACGGACAGGTCAAGGGGGCGGGATGAGGTTAGTAGGTAGGAAATGGGGGTGCGGCTTGAGGTGGGAGGAGGGGATAGGTGGGAGGAAGAACAGGTTAGGGAGGCAGGGGCGAGCTGGACTGGTTTTGGGATGCGGTAGGGGGAGGGGAGATTTTGAAGCTTGTGAAATCTCACCCCCATCCCAGGCCCCAAGAAGACTTTCCACATCAAGCAGATGTTCACCTGCACATCTGCCAATGTGGTGTACTGCATCCGCTGTACCCGGTGTGACCTCCTCTACATCGGGGAAACCAAGCTTTGCAGAACACCTATGCTCGGTTCGCAATAAACAACTGCACCTCCCAGTCGTGAATCATTTCAACTCCCCCTCCCATTCCTCAGACGACATGTCCATCCTGGGCCTCCTGCAGTGCCACAACGTTGCCACCCGAAGGTTGCAGGAACAGCAACTCATATTCCGCTTGGGAACCCTGCAGCCCAATGGTATCAATGTGGATTTCACAAGCTTCAAAATCTCCCCTCCCGCTACCGCATCCCAAAACCAGTCCAGCTCGTCCCCGCCTCCCTAACCTGTTCTTCCTCCCACCTATCCCCTCCTCCCACCTCAAGCCGCACCCCCATCTCCTACCTACTAACCTCATCCCGCCCCCTTGATCTGTCCGTCCTCCCTGGACTGACCTATCTCCTCCCTAACTCCCCACCTACACTCACCTTTACTGGCTCCATCCCCGCCTCTTCGACCTGTTTGTTTCCTCTCCACCTATCCTCTCCTCTATCCATCTTCTATCTGCCTCCCACTCTCTCCCTATTTATTTCAGAACCCCCTTCCCCTCCCCCATTTCTGATGAAGGGTCTAGGCCCGAAACATCAGCCTTTCTGCTCCTTTGATGCTGCTTGGCCTGCTGTGTTCATCCAGCTTTGCACCTTGTTGTCTCGGATTCTCCAGCATCTGCAGTTCCTACTGTCTCTACTCTAATTCCTGGGTGACTACTGTCATAAAATCTCAGCATCATAGAGGTGTGCAGCATAGAATAGGGCCCCTCAGCCCACTGGGTGGGCACCAGTCAGAAACAACCACCTAACTGTTCTAGGTCCATTTTCCGACATTTGGCCCATAGCTTTGTATGTCTTGGCATTGCAGGTGCACATTTAAATACTCCTTCAATGTTATGAGGTTTTCTGCCTTTACCGCTCTCACAGGCAGTGAGTTCCAGGTTCCCATCACCCTCTGAGTAAAACAAAAAAATTCAGCACACCCCCTATAAACCTCCTATCCCTCACCCCGCTCCAACTCCCCCCCAAACTGGCCATTGATCCCTCCACTAAGGGGAAATGTTTCTTCTTGTCTACGCCCCTAATAATTTTATATATAATTTTTTCTCAATCATGCCCCCACTCAATCTCCTCTGCTCCAAGGAAAATAATCCCAATCTGTCCAATCTACTCTTCCTAGTTAAAACTCTCCAGCCCAGGGCATATTGTCATAAATCTCCTCCGCGCTCTCTCCACTGCCATCACATCCCTCCTATAATGTGGATTCCAAAACTGCACACAATACTCCCGCTGTGGTCTAACCAACTTTTTACATAGTTCCAGCTTAACTTCCCTACTCTTAAATTCTGTATAAAACCCTGACTCACCCCTCACATCCAATTACACCTCTCCACGATACAGTGGGAGCTAACATGACCCTCCCACTCCCTGGATGGACCTGATAAACCTCACCTCCCAACTCAACCCGAAGCTGCTGACCCAGCACCCACCCATTTACTGGCTCAACATGACACTGCTACAACTGACAGCCTACTCCTTTCACCCACTTATAGCCTACCCCTCATTCACCTCAGACAGAGATCTCATACACTTGCTGTTAAAGTGTTCTTTGGGACCTTTAAATCCTGAAGTAAGGCAACGAGCATTGTATTTACCAAAATGTCGTGGCCTGTTACACTCCTCATGCAACGGGCAGATTCTCCCCAATTACCTTCAATAAATGCATTTCTGACAAGCCAGATTAGAAGTCTTGGCTAGAAAAAAAAATCACTGACAGATAAGTGGGTAATTTTAAGGAAGATTACCATCAGTTGAACATATAATAGAATATTTGGGCCATTACAACACGCAGCGGCAAAGATGACGATGCACGTTACATGGATTAATGTGCTCATCGGATACTCTACTCCATCAATTGCACTGGTTCAACAGTCAGAATGGTATCACTGTAGGAACCATAATGTAGGAACATTAATGATGTTTGACTGTCACCTTTCTTATGGGTTTGTGTAAAGAGCATTTGATCTGTTTGATTTCAAGCTTGCTGGATACCATCTCTACCCTCTTCCCAATATATCAACTAATTGCTTCTTAAATGACCAAGGTGCCTTTGCCTTCCTTATATGTTTCAGATATTGATCTCCTTTACGTATATTAAAAAATGTTCCTGACCTGACACTAATTATAACCTTTCCGCTCACAACCCTGATTCTTCCTATCCATTACCATGCTGTACATAGAAACATTCTGGGGTTTTTCTAGTATATTAAGTAGCTTCAAGATCTTCACAAGGTGCCCTTCTTGAGGTTCAGGAACCATGGTTTAATAAATCATTTTGCACTCTTTTGTGCCAGAAATATTAAACATCCTCTGCCACCTACCTCAACTGCTCATCCTTCATTTGAAGTGTGACCAATGCAGAGATGTGAAGAAGCAACTAGCAAAGGGATCCTTCTGACATAACAATGATTAGCGCAAAACAAAGTCACCCACAGTTTGAATTGCTTTGACCCAACACAGAGTTATAAGGTGAAATACAAATGCATCTACTGTTATAATCACTCTGTCACTGGATATCAGCCTTGTCATGTACGTCAGATTGCTGTTTGTAGGATCTTATTTTGAATTAATTGGCTTCTCTGTTTGCTATATGATCACTTCAAAAAGATGCCATTGACTGGAAAGCACTTTGAGAGGTCATGAAAGGAAATTTATTTATGTCTTTGTTTTCTGCACTTTCATGTGCCTGACTATATGGCAGACTACAGTGTAAATCCCAGGACTGATTTGGGAACAGAACCAGTTAGCTCAGGAGAGATTCAGCAGTTGCATGATTTGTCCTCAGCAAAAAAGTTGAGAAAAATCAGACAGGCAGAGTTTAGATCTCACTCAGACTGAACTTGTTAAACACAAAAAATATACTGAGCAAATTTTCACAAGCTTCAAAAGTAACAGCTAAGTACAAATAAAGCCACTTGATCACATCTAATTAATATAGAGAAAATAATTCTGAGCACAATTGGACTATGGGGATTGGGGCTCAAACTCAGTTTGTGCACAAAGGAAATGAGTACAGTTTAGATGTTGTCTTTCTTTCATTGATGCTTATGCAGTGAATACTGAAGGAGGTCTGGGTCCAGCATACTGGAGTTTCAAGTAAAGCTCCATATATTCAACACCCCACCCCTCTAGCCATTGCAACATAATAGAACTTAATAAATGTTTGGGGGACTACAAATGGAACTTGCTGTGCTGTATCTGCCCTGAGAGTATTTGATATTACAGAGTCAAGGGAACTTTAATTTTATTCTTTAAATGGAGGAAGTCTGATTCCGAAGAATACAAACATCACTAATAAAACAGAGTCTGAGTAAAATCTCCTTGATTATAATGTGCACAGACAGTGTAACAATACTGAACGGAATCTGAATAGAGCAGATGTAGGAGCATGTTTTTAGACAAGGACAAATTTAATTGGAACTGAAAATGCTAGTAAATGGTCTTTCCCTGCCAACCAGAGTGTCAGGAATCATCTAGGATGAGTTACAAGACAAAATAAAAGGGAAATGAATCTGCAAAGTTAACGTTGAGTGATCAAATGAGTGAACGTAAAGAAATCATCTAGAACCATTTTATTAAAGTATACAATACAACTTTCAGCTACAAAACCATCATTCAGAGCCACATCTGGCCTCCAAATGATATATTTTTCTTATTCAATTTCAGGTTCAGTAACCGAACAGAGCGGTTTATAGATTGTGAGTTATTAGTGCAGCTGGTTTCCATTCTCCGATGCGAGTCTTCGTTCTCCACACTGAGACTCCAACGGATTGCTCTGGAAATATTTCCTGGCTCTGACAGTTGTGAGGTGTCCCCAACCATTGTGTACCTTGCATTTCTGTTCTTGAAAGAGATGGGGAGCGTGGGCAGGAGGAGGAGGAGTGGGTGGGGGCCTGCAACAGGGTCTGAGACTTCAGTGTTTGCGCTTTGACCCAAACTGTTTTGTGTTGACTTCGGGCACACTCAAGGCTCGACTGATAAAAGGAAAGGTTAGACAGGACACAATTTCTGAAGCTCAACAACAGAGAAGTCATTGTTGGACAGTTTCTTCCTGTTTCTGCATGAAATATAAGGCTTGCGGTGCTTCCTCGAGGCTCGATGAGTTTTGCTGAAATTCGTAACGTGTATTTAATGACTGAATTTAACATGAGAAAAAAAAAGCAAATCTTCCACTTGCCTCCTTGGACTGCTCATTTTCTCCTTCTGTCTGGTGTCCATATTATTTAAAAAAGAAGCTATCATGCCAATCACACAGGAAGGGACACAATCCGGTAGATGACCTTTCACCTCTCTGCACCAACTGTTTATCAGTTGATATCAGAGGAAGTCAAACACCCCATATTTCTTCACTGTGTGACAAGGAAAGAAGCACACAAGAGGTTTAAGAAATTAGTTCAAAAGAACATAAGTTGGGAAATGATTACAGTTTCATTTTGGTTTTCACAACACGCTCTCAATAGATGCAGTATTTTGTTTTCTAAAAGAAAAGGAAGAAAACTTAAAATGGGAAAGGTATTAATGAGGCAGACAGACAGGCTTTTGTCTGCGCGCACACAGTCCAGTTTTGTGAGACGATCAGGAAGGGTGGGAGAGGGACGGTGGTGCGAGAGAAGCAAATCAAATGGTTTTTGTTTATAAATCTTGCAGATTAGTGCTGAATAAATACAGTCCTGTTCACACTTCAAATGTGCTACTCCATCACAAACAGGGCCTCAGTCCAGTTTTTTTTTTAGTCGTTCTGTTTTAGTAACAAGACTGAATAGATGATGCTTTCTTTACAAAAAAAAAATTAACAACAGTCACATGACATCCACAAAGAACTCACTGGGGTTTCCCATCGCCATTCTGAAGGACTGTCTACTCGCTGTGAGCTCTGGGGGCACTGAGGCCAGGTCACGCACAGGAGGTGCCCCTGGGGGTGCCATCGCAGGCTGCGGAGGCATCATCATGAGAGGTGGGGTGTAAAGGGGCGGCAAACCAGGAGCCCCGTAGGACTGGTGCGTGTGATGGCTACGGATGCTGGCGGCCATGGAGTGGTGGCTCCGGTGGCTGAGGTTGCTATGGTGACTGTGCTCACTGGCAGGAACTGAACGCTCGCTGACCGCCCGCTCTCGCCGGATGCCACTCCTTGTGGTGTGATCTGACTCACTACCACTACCCCCTGACTTGGCCTCGCCTGCTTTGGGCTCCTTCTCTTTCCCTCCTCTCCTTTCGCTCCCACTGCGATTAGATCCACTGCTTCGGCTTCCTGCAACAAGGAACCAAAATAAAGACGATTTAGCACAAAGCAAAGGGTAGAGGGAAATAAGGTCATCTTCTCTGGTGATTACAAGAGTAGAGGGAAAGAAATTGCATTTATACAGCATAATGCAATACCCCGGGATATCCAAACGTCAGCCCATCATGTCTACACTGACAAAACTGTTTCAAACATACACTTGTTCCACTTTCCAGCACTTGGCCCCTGGTTTTCAGTGTTATGACATTTTATTTGCTCACCCAAATATTTTTAAAGTTTGTCACGTATTCTGCCTTAACTACCCTCCCAGGAAGTGCAATCCAGGTTCCCATCACCCTCTGGATGAAAACATTTTCCCTCAAATCGTCTCTAAATCTCCTGTTCTTTCACTTAAAAAATTATGCCCCGTTGTATTTACCCTTCAACTAAGACTATTCAGACCTTCGAACCTTTCCATCATTCAATATGTTCTGATCCAACATTCCTCATGTCCACTTTCCTGCCTTTTTCCCATAACATTTCATTCCCTGACTGATCAGGGATCCTTCTACCTCAGCCTTTCATGTACATAAGGACTCTGCTCCCACAGTTGTTTGAGGTAAGGAGTTTCTAAGACTCTCAACCCTCAGAAAGTAAATTTCTCTTCATCTCAGTCTTATATTAGCACCCCTTTATTCTGAGACTACGCCCTCTGGTCTTAAGAATTTCCCATGAAGAGAAAACATCCTCTCAACATTTACCCTGCCTGGCCCCTTTAGAATCCTATATGTTTCAGTGAGAGCACCTCTCATTCTTCAAAGCTCCAATGAGTAGATTCCCAACCTGTTTAGCCAATCCCTCCATACCAGAGATCATCCTTGTGAACCTTCTCTGAATGGCCTTCAATGCAATAATATCTTTCTAAAAATAAGGGGAGCAGAACTGCTCACAGTATTCCAGGTGTGGTGCCACCAGCACCTTATACAGTTAGAGTGAGATTTCCCTACTCTTATATTCCAACTCCCTTTGAAATAAGGGCCAGCATTCTATTAGCCTTCCTGATTACCTGCTGCCCCTGTGTACTAGCTGTGTGCACAAGTCCCCCGAAGTCCCCTTGTATTGTAGCTTTCTGGAGCAAGAGGAACAGCTGCTTTCTATCCACGCTGTCCAGACTAGCGCTACATCTAGAGGTGCTTCTTCGACTATTAAATGCTCTTGAAGTGTCAGAACACGGAGAAACACAGAAGCAGATTTGCACACAGCAAGATCCCAGAAATAGCAAAGCAATAAAAGTACAAATAATATGTTTTTTCGACTTGATGGATATTGGATGTATGAGAAACAGAAGCAAGAATAGATCTCTCTAAACCTCCTGTCTTGACACAAGGGTGTGAAGTTTAGTAAGGGCCAGTGGAGGAGTTATGTGGAACAGTAGGAGCTGACAGTGGAGCTCACAGTGGAATATGGATGGTCAAGAAAATAATACATGAGTTAGGGCCAGCAGTAAGCCATTCAGTGCCTTGAGCCTGCTCCATCATTTGATTTGGCTGATCTGTTTGTGGCATCAAGCACAAACTCTTGACTTCTCCTAAAATACTTGTTGATCAATAATCTAACTCAGCCTTGAATACATTCAATGATCCCCACCTCTACTGCTCTCTGGGAAGAGAATTTCACAGACTAATGACCCTCAGAGAGAGAAAAAAAACTTATCATTTCAGTCATAAATGAGAAACCCTAATATTTAATCTGTGGTCCTGAATTTCCCACAAGGGGAAACCTCAGTATCTACACAGTCAATCTCTCATAAATGGAGGAGGAGAAACTAGGCCATTCGGTCCATTGAAGATGCTCCCGCATTCAATGAGGTCACGGCTGATCTCATAATCTCCAATTCCGCCTTTTTCCTCTAATCTTTGATTCCCTCACTGATTAAAAACCTGTCCACCCCAGCACTGAGTTTACTTAATGGCCCGGCCTTGACAGCTCTGTGGTAAAGAATTCCACAGATTCACCAACCTCTGAGGAAATAAATTGCTATTCATCTCTGTGGTCAACTCAATGCTCTGAGATTATGTTCTGGTCCTAGACTCTCCCACAAGGGGAAACAATCTCTCAGCATTCACCCTTTTGATCTCCCTCAAAATAGTATATGTTTAATAGGGTGTCCTCCCAGTCTTCTAAACTCCAAAGAATACAGTTCAACATACTCAACCTCTCCTCATACGACAATCCCTGCATACCCAGGATCAACCCCGTGAATCTTTTCTGGGCTGCCTCCAAAGTCAGTATGTCTTTCCTTAAATAAAGGAGCCAAAACTATTCACAGCATTCCAGCTGCTGTCTGAATAGTGCCTTGTAAAGCTTTAGCAAAACCACTCTATTTTTATACTCCATTCCCTTTAAAATAAATGCCAACATTCTATTTGCTTTCCCTATTACTGACTGAAGTTCAAGCCTGGCTTTCTGTGATTCATGTAAAAAGACTTCCAAATCCCTCCGCTGCAGGCTTCTGCAGTCTTTCCCATTTTAAATTATAACCATCTCTTCCATTCTTCCTCCCAAAGTGCATGACCCCACATGTTCCGATATCATATTTCATCTGCCAACTTTTTAACCTGTCTATCTCCCTCTGTAAACTCTGTGTCATCTTCACCACTTACCATCCCACCTATTTTTGTGTCATCTACAAACTTGGCTGTAGCACATTCAGTTCCGTCAACCAAGTCATTAATATATTCTAAATAATTGTAACCCCAGCAGTGATCTCTGTGGCTCTCCATTAGTTACAGGCTTCCATCTGAAAATGCCACTTTATCTTAACTCTCTGTCTTCAATCAGTTAGCCAATCCTCTATCCGTGCTAATGTACTACTCACAATACCTTGAACTTTTATCTTACGTAGACTTATGTGTGGTACATTATTGAATGCCTTTTGGAAATCCAAATATCCACTGGCTCCCCCTTATCTGTTTGATACCTCCTCAAAGAACTAGAACTGTAATAAATATGGTAGGCATGATTTCCTGACGCCCTGCTGACTGTCTGATTATATTATGTGTTTTTAAATGCTCTGCTATTTTACATCCTTTCTAATAGACACTAATATTTTCCCAATGACATACTTTAAGCTAACTAGCCTACAGTTACCAGTTCTGGAGTCCATTTTTCTGGGATAAGCATGCTAACACACAGTGGAAACTTGTACTCCTTACCGAGGGAAATTGGAAAACTCAGTGTCCTGGAAACACAACGAGACCATGCCTTTCATCATGCCTGCATCAGTAATGTCTCTTTTTGAAAGACCTATCCAATTCATTTGATTTACCCTCACTTATTATCCACAGCTCAGCATGTTCCATTTTGTTTACTGTATCCAGTTCCCTTTTGATACTTATTATTGAACCTGTTTCTGACATCCTTTCAGCCTGTACAGTTAGATCTATTTAGTCTCTTAAACGTGTTCTGTCATTCCGTGAGGTCAAGGCTGGCCTGACTACATTAAGAAATAATCTGCATTTTCCTCTGGTTCTTTTAACAATTGCCTTAAAAGGTTGTATTACATTAAAGGTGCTGTCTAAATACATGTTGAGTTCTACTGAAAAAGGCACACTTTGCCAAAGATTTTAATCTTGCACTCATCAGGACAATTCACAAGAGTAGCAATTTAAAGGGAAAACTTATACTCGATGAGAGGTGAATGTACTATTGGTTGGCAAGTAGGCATTGAATGGTTGAGACATTGCCATGGATTATGTAAAAATTAATAATGATTGGCAATTAACAACTAGCTTTGTTTAAATATTATATTTTAAACTAGACTGAATCTGATTGGTTAGGGCATTGCTCTGTGAGATGAATCATCAAATGGCTGTCACTTATTTTGTTCAGTTGAAAACAATGCATTGCACTTACATGTCTGAAGACAGAAAGAATATACACATACAATGCACTTATTTCAATTTAACAAAATTGGTGACAGCCATTCACTGATTCAATTATCAGGACAATGCTCTGACTAATCAGATTTAACTTGCCAAATTTAAATTTTAAATTTTAATTGACACTTTCTCCGTGGCAATGTCTCTGCCAGAGTCCAGATGCCAACACATCAGCACTCTTCTCTCATGCAGTGTAATTGATGGTTTGCCCCCTTAATTGACATTCTTGTGAATTGTTGTGACTAGTGCAAGATTTTTTCAGCAGTTTCTGCACTACCAAATGACATTTTAAATACAACTTATTAATGTCATTTGTTTCTTCCACTTAACAACTCTGCATCACTCGAAATGCTTTCTTCCTATTCACTCTACCAAACTATTCAGGGTTTTGAATACACCAGTTAAATCAGTTCAATGAACCTTCTCTGAACTGCTTCTAATGTAGTTATATAGTCCAGTGGTCTGCAAAGAAACTCCAACTTCTCCAGTCTCTCTCTGCAACATGAAGTCCCTCATCACCAATGCCATTTTAGTAAATCTCAGCTGCACACTCTAAAAGACATTCCTGACATCCTTCCTAAAGTGTGGAGCCCAGAATTGGACCCAATGATTTAGGTGGAGTATAAGCACTGCTTTATACAAGTTTAACCTGCTTGTTTTTGTACTTTATGACCTGTTTAAAATGTTAACTGTATCAAATTATTGGATAGATTTTATCCTTTACATCATTGATCTTCAATCTCCCTCAATCTTTCTCTGACCACCCCTTCTGTTCCATCTGTCCCTTCCCGCTATTCAATACCATAAAAACCATGCCTTTTCCACGTGTCGCTTCAGTTCTGTAGAATGGTCCCATCAGACTCAAAAAGTAAACTTTGTTTCCCTTGCCAACAGATGCTGCCAGACCTGCTGGATTTGTCCAGCACTTTCTGTTTTTATTTCATGCAATATGCTTGATTATCTAGGAGTCTGTACTCAGTGAATTTCTTTATATGTCCTTTCATGGTCCCTTTTCAGAACGATAATAGGGATATATTGACAGTAAGGGTTGAATTTCTGCTTTGATTGTTTTATGTTGACTGAATGTCATATACTAGCTCAGTGTTTGCTTCAGTGCAGCGTCTTGCAGTTCAACATGTTATGCCCTGATCAGTTGCCTTCCTACTTCTCTCTCCATTACAATGTTCATTAAAACTTACCCCTTCCATCAATTTTTTTTTAAAAAACCACCTGTCCTAATATTGCTTTCGGAAGCTCAGTGTTGAATTCTGTTTGATATTCATTGCTGTGAAGTACCTTGGAACATTTTACTACATTAAAGACCTTATATAAATGCAAATTGTTGTTGTTGAACCAATAATGGGGCATCTGGCACCTTGGATAACTTCGTAAACAGTGCAGTAACCAGAAGTGGACACTGCAATGTGGTGACTGTTTTGGTTAATGTGGTTCTCTCACCTTCACTGGGCTGGCTGCCCGCACTGCCCCCTCCGTATGTGAACCCGGTGACGTCGTGGTAGCCTGGTGGATGTGGGTTGTAAGGGTGCTGTGGTGGATACTGGTATGGGAAGGAGATGGGCCATGGTGCTGCACCTGGGTGCGGGAGGGGTGCCAATGTGTCTTGATCTGAAGTGCCACTGGATCCATCCTGGTCATTCAGGGTTAGATTAGCCATGTCTGTGGAAATGGGAAGAATTACAGCCTGTTAGTTTTGTCAATGGCAGTGTGCAAATGTCAATAATCCTGCAAGATCCAATACACTAGCTTAGTACCTGATCGACAGGACAATGAACATATGAGCTTGTATGCGAGGTTCAATATTTTTCAATCTTCGCCTATCCCCTTTTTCAATCCCAATGTAATTTTCCCCCTGGCCCTGCTGTTTTCACTGTTATGAACAGCTCTTGGCTACCACAAGAACAGGAAAGGTTTGGAGGGATGTGAGCCAAGCGCAGGCAGGTGGGACTAGTTTTGGAATTACGGTCAGCATGGATTGGTTGAACCAAAGGGTCTGATTCTGTGCTGTATGACTCTTTGACTCTCTACAAGTGGGCCAAGTGTAGCAATTACTGACAGGCCATTTCATGTGACAACCATTATGTCAGGTGCTGTTTCTGATCTCGCCCAGCAGCTTCATTTCCCATCTGGAGGGAGCTGTCAGGTTGTGCTGGACACTGTGAAGCAATCAGAAGTAAAAGGGCCAGACTGATTTCTACTGATGAACCCAAGTCACAACTGAGGGAACGAAGATATTCCACAGTCCCCACTCTGCAATACTATGAGAGATCACATTGCTGTGGTTTTGTTATGAATTCCAGGCCATTATAGTAAATGGGGTAGGCTGGATAGACCACAAACATCCCAGTATGTGAGTAAATATTCTTGGCAGACAATAAGCTTTGGAATGATCATTCTTCAGCTTGTTGTAATATCTTCAGGCATTAAATCCAAAATTTCATGTCATGGAATCACCATCGCATCTGCTACCTGACTTGCATTATAATTCATCTTGACCATCAAGTAAACAGGTGGGGAGATAGAGAGGGGGCGGGTGTGGGGTGGAAGAGGGTGTGTGTGTGGGAGAGAGAGAGAGACAGAGAAGGATCTTCAGCTTTTGACTGACATTTTTAAATTGCATTGTACTTCCCACTGAGGAGCAAAGAAACAATATTCAGTATGTGGCTTACACATGTGCACCCAGCACAACTCACTCAGTGATGGGTCACAGTGTGTACACACCACTGCTCATTAAGGGAGTCAGGCATGTCACGGTAATGTCCCTGGACTAACAATCCAGAGGCCCAGGCTAATTCTTTGGGCACATGGATTAAAAACCAACTATGGTGACCATGACAACTATCTTCAATTGTCAAAAAAACCACTTGGTTCATTATGACAATAAAGCTAATTCCTTCATTCATTCCTGTACAGAAAGAAACCTGCCATCCTTATCTAACCTGTCATGAGACTTCAGATCTACCATAACGTGGCTGACTCTAAACTGTTTTCTGAAATGGCCCGGTAAGTATTCAGTACAAGGCTAATGAGGGATGGGCAACAAATGCTGGTCATACCAGCAATGCTCACGTTCCATGAGAAAATAACAGAAAAATCTTTCCTCCACTTTTCCACTAAGTATTGATGAGAAAGAGAGATACACCATTGAAAGCTTTCATCCTGCACTCATCTGGAAAGAAGTATGAACGTCAAATGTCAAAGGAAACAACAATTTGTACTGCATGATAAAAGCCCATACTTGCAAATCTCAAAACATAATGGTTAATGTTAGATATGATTCCATGATTAAGATTGTTCAGCAAGGGCTGCCTTGGTGTGATGAAAATTATACTAACAACCAATTTAAGATTATCAGTTGGATCACACAGGGACAGGTCCTCTGTAGGCAAAAAGAACATGTCCAGTTATTGCACATTTTTGAATTAAATGAAAGCTTTGGGGACAATATTTCTCAGGTATATTTTCTATGCCAATGCCTCAATCAACCAGAGGCCACTTGCCAGCTAATTAGCATCCTTTTCTCACGCAGTATAAATTGTTGCTCCCTTTAAAATTTGGCATTCTTGCATCTGTCCTGATAACTGCAAGGAGAGAAGCTTTGATAGTGTGTTAGTCCTTTCTCTAATACTCAAGTTCTATACGACTGAGTGATGATTTATTTCTTTAAGGCTAGGGGCTACTATGGCAGCCAACGTTTGGGGAGAAGCTGAGGAAGGATACCAGTTTGAGACGACAACACGCCCTAAAGACAGAGTCACTCACTGCCACATAGATTCCCGAAGATGTAGTAGCACTGCTCTGAGAAGGTGATTTTGTTGACTGTGTGTCGAATGTAACCAGCTTTGAGGAGATTACTGGCATATTTTCTCGCCTCGCGACGGTCTGGAAAACCTTCAACGTGATTATAAAGCCAGTCAACGACATCAGAACCTGGGAAAGGAGGACAGAATGATGTAGCAAAGCAGGTAAATCAGTGCAGTATGCTTCTGCGACCACTTTTAAAAGGGCAATCCGAGGTTCTCAATTCCACTTCCTATCCTTACTCCAAAGCCCGACAAATATTTCCCAATAACGCATTTTTCCAATTCTTTTCTGAAAGTTACCACTGAAATCTGCTTTGACCACCCTTTCAAGTAGCTTGTTCTTTAAAAGTCTTCTATATTTAAGGGAATACAATCCTGTCTATTCATCTGTCCTCAATATTTAGAGCTTTTTGCCCCAGGTTCATGCAAGTACTACTTGTTAGGAACACAACGATTGGGATGTCATCAAAAAGCAAAATACTGCAGACGCTGGAAAATAAAATAAAAAATAGAAAATGCTGGAAATGCTCAGCTGCTCAAGTAGCATCTGCAGAGACAGAAAGCTGTCATCGGAACTAGAAAAAATTACGGTGTTGGTCAGGCCAAACCTTCAAGATTTTCCAAACAAATGAGCTTAGGTGAGGGCCAGTCTTCCTCTTCCATGTTTACTTTGTTTATTATTCAGCAAAGGCACAGTATCCCTTTTCCATGTTTATCCTGTTTATTAATCCACAAAGGCACTGTTTCTAAACTTGGCTCACTGGCTGGATGCTACATACCTATAAAAGCGTTGGGGATTGTTATTTTAAGCCACATTCGGTCACGGACTTCCAGGCCTGATTCTGGTGATGCCATGGCCTTGACGATGGTGACAACGTCACTGTGGACTGATAAATGAAAATCATCGAACCCTGAGAAGAAAAGAACATAAAGAGATCTTGCTTCAATTGGGCAATGTTACAGAGCAGTGCAGGGCTGGGCTGTCAGGTGTGGGTGTGACGAGAATGGGAATAGAACTGGCCATTCTTCAGCAGTGTAATTTATATCATTTATTTATAGTTATCTAATTTATAGAAAGCATAATTCATTTCAGAACACTGTAGTACTATGAATGATTACAATTTGGTCTTTCTTTACAAATAATAAATTATAACTGACAATAAATTATAGCTAACAAGCACTTGGTGCAACTTCTTGGTTACAGATAAAACAACATTATGTAAAACTATGCCAGCAACATCTATTTCTAAAGATAGTAGCAATTTCAATCTAAATTTATTAAACTGACAACTTTTATCATCAACTTTTCCTTCCCTTGGGTTGCTAACTAGAAGTTTGATACTTTCGTGCCATAAGGATAGCCAGGTATCTTGAATCTTTCATGATGGCAAGAGAGAAACCGATCTCGCTTTCTGAAAGCCAGCAAAATTACAATACAATAACCAGAAACCTATTGGCTAAGTGTGACTGTACGGAATAATAAATGTGCCTTAGGCTTTAGTACTGGTCATGCTCCTGGAGAGAATACAAGGAAAAGAGAAACAGGAATAGGCTATTCAGCTCCTCTAACCCATTCCATTATTGAGTTAATTCATGTCTGAGCAGCATCCCAACTCCACCTACCCACTTTGATACTTTCACCCTTAGTAACTATACTCAACCAAAATCAATAAAAGTTTTGAATTAACTCCAAGCGGCAAAAGCTTTTCTAGGGGAAAGAGTTTTTTGGAGAGAGTCTAAGGGAATTTCACTACCCACCTGCCTCTTATGAAATTTTTCTTGCCTATTGGACTGACACGAGTATGGTTAGTGATCTCAGTGGCTTGGATGGTGGTTTGCTGTGCAAAGTGATGCAAATTCCTGTACTGGCTGAGCTTACTAATAAGACCCTGCAATCTCAATTTCACCCCTCACTTGAGGTGCGGTGACCCTCAGGTTAAAATTATTATGAGTCATCTCTCTCTAATGAAAGAGTAGCCTATGATCTTCTGGGATGATGGAGACTCTCACTTTCCACTTTCTTTCCTCTAAAGTTGCAAATACCACCTACTTTCCTTCCTACATCTTTTCTGTATTGAAAATCCAGACTTGTGTCTCATCGCCATTTCTAACTTTTCCATTGCCAGGAACTCAGTGTTCCCTTACTTTGAGTTTGAGGGGTCAATTACAGGGGCTCTGACCTAAATTTTTAATTCCTCTCTGGCCATAGGGGAGGTTCCAGAGGACTAGGGGACAGCTAATGGGATTCCACTTTTCAAGAAATGTGGCAGATATAAGTCTGGAAATTTCAAATCAGTGAGTCTCATATCAGTGGTAGGGAAACCACTGGAGAAAATTCTGAAGGAGGGAGTTAATCTCTACTTGGAGAGGCAAGTTTTGATCAGGGATAGTCACCATGGCTTTGTCAGAGGGATGTGATGAATTACAAATTTGATGGGATTTTTCAAGAAGATGACCATGTGTAAATGAGGGTAGTGTAGTTGATGTAGTTTGTATGGATTTCAGCAAAGCCTTTGACAAGGTCTCACATGGAAGGTTGATAAAGAAAGTAAAAGCACATGGGATCCAAAAATGACAATGACAGGAGATACAGGGTGGTGGTAGAAGACTATTTGTGTGGCTTGAGGCCAGTATCCTTTGGTGTACCACAGAGATCAGTGCTGGGTCTCTTAATTTTTGTGGTATATGTAAATGAGACAGATTTTGGGTTGGGATGATAAGTAAGTTTGTGAATGACACAAAGATAGGCCAGGTGGTTAACAGTGAGGAAGAAGGTCTTAGATTACAGGAGGATTTAGATGGATTGGTCAGATGACAAATTAGTGGCAGATAGAATTTAACCCCGAAAAGTGAGAGGAAGAAGTAACAAGACAAGGGAGTACACAATGAATGGTAGGACACTAGAAAGCTCTGAGGAACAGAGGGATGTTGGGGTGTTTGTCCACACATCCCTGAAGGTGGCCTGTAGGACATGGTAGCTAACAAGGCATATGGGACATTTGTCTTTATTGGTGGTGGCATGTAATATAGGAGCAGGGAGGTCATGAGAGCTGTACAGAACTTTGGTCAGGCCAAAGCTGGAGTACTGTGTATAGTTCTGGTTGCCACACAACAGGAAGGATGTGATTGCACTGGAGAGGGGGCAGAAGAGATCCTCTAGGATGTTGCCTGGGATAGAGTATTTTACCTAAGAAGACAGGCTAGACAGGATTGAGTTGTTTTCTTCAGAGCGGAGAAGCATGATACAGGACATGTTTCAGGTGTAGAAGATTATGAGGGGCACGGATAGGGTGAATAGAAAGCAGCTGTTGCTCTTGGTTGAAAGATCAGTAACAAGGGGACATAATTTTAAGGTGAAAGGCAGGAGGTTTAGAGGGGATTCGAGGAAATTCTTTTCACCCAGAGGGTGGTGGGGGTCTGGAATACACTGTCCAGGTGGCTAGTTGAGATGGAAAACATCACAACCTTTAAAAAAATACTTGGATGACCAAATGAAGTGTCATAACATTCAAGTCTATGGACCAACTGCTGGAAAGTGGAACAAATGTAGGTTTAGAGAGTTCTGTCAGTGCACATTCAGTGGGCCAATGGGCCTCTTCAGTACTGTATGATTCTATGCAATCAAATAACACAGGCTTCGTAATTCAGCTCACCTTACATTTTACTCCAAACAACCTCAGTGCTGCCTTGCATCATGCTCCTTGACCCTTTACTTTGGTTTGTCGATTAAAATATGATGCCAATGCACTGAATGTTTATAAAACCTGTTCTATTTCCTGCATTGTAATGTGTCTTCCTAGCCAAAGTGCAATTATAAGATGGATGGTAAGACGTTACCAGGCAGAAATCTCTTCATATTTCTCATGACGAAGCACTGCATCCTGTGAACACGTGCGCATATCTCACTGACACACACACACACACACACACGCTCGCACAAAATACAGGTGAATTAAAGTTGAATGACAGAAACTGAGAGAAAAGCAGCTTGGTGATTTGGGAGGTCATGCTGTGTAAATGCCAGGTGAGGCTGATGGTCGTGTGCAGGTAGAACTTACGTTCGGTTTCTGGGATGGAGCTGGTGATGGAAGAGCTGGTGGAAGTAATGGTGCTCATGGAGGGGCTCATACCATATGGTTGATAGGCTCCTGTCATGGCTGCTGTATGTGACACCCACGCTGCTGGGTCAATGGGACGAATGGGCTCACCTGAAGGAGGGTAGGAAATAAGGAGACATCAGTACTTTCACTGTCGCAACCTTTTTACGGTGCATGAAATTTTATGGAATTTTTTGAATTTCTGGAATGAATCAATTAAAGCTCTTTGTTCTGCATGTAGCTACACGCATTTACAATTGTTCAGAGATAGTAGGAACTGCAGATGCTGGAGAATCTGAGATAACAAGGTGTAGAGCTGGACGAACACAGCAGGCCCAGCAGCATCAGAGGAGCAGGAAAGCTGAAAGCTTTCTGAAGAAGGGGCTAGGCCCGAAACGTCAGCTTTCCTGCTCCTTTGATGCTGCTTGACCTGCTGTGTTCATCCAGCTCTACACCTTGTTATTTACAATTGTGCATGTGTGAGTACCATCTTCATGCAATGAGTTCACAAATTAACTAGTTTGCCATTCTACTATTTACCTTCACTAGTTAGCCAGGCTTATTTTTGCTGGTCATCGAGCAACCACACATAGCAGATCACCAGTTGATCAGAAAGATGACTCAATGGATTGAAGGCATATGAAATAATGAGGGAAGGAACTGTTTAAATCCCTCAACTACAGTAACAGGGAGGGATGGATAGACTTAAATCCAACAGAGGATGAGACAGCAGCTGGAAACCCAAATGGTGATCAATGAATTAAAGAAATTATTGCACCATGTCTCTCAATGGAATTGAACAACAAATTGCAGATGCAAGAGACATTCATGGGAGCGTCACTTTACACACTGTGACTGGGTGTCTGAGTCTTTATTCTCCTGTTATACAGCAGAACCTTAATTATTCTCAATCCACATGATTCTCTAGACTCATCATCCACAATTTCAATTATGAGCAAGGATTTTCAGGGGAGTCAGGGCTTAGCTTGCATCAAGACAAAGCAATGGTAATGGCTGCAGTTTTGTTGGTCAATCATCTCAGTCCCATGACATCTCCACAGGAGCTCAATACAGTAGTGTTTTCAGGCCATCCATCCATCTTCAGCTGCTTCATCAATGATCTTCCCTCCATTACGAGGTCAGTAGTGGGGGTGTTCACTGATGATTATACACTATTTTGTATCCTTTTCAGTGCCTCACATAAGGAAGTAGTCCTTGCTGACATGCAGCAAGACTCAGATAACATCCAGGCTTGGGCCGATTAGTGACAAGTACCATTCATGCTACAAAAGAGCCACGCAATGACCATCTCCGACAGGAGAAATCTATCACTAACCCACGAGATTTAAAAGCAATATAGTCATTGAATACTCCACTACCAACAAAGGGGTGTCCTTTGACCAGAGACTGACCTGACTAGCCACATAGATAATTTAGCTGCAAGAACAGATAGTCACAGGCAAGTAACTCACCTCCCAACTCTGCAAAGCCCATCCAGGATCTACAAGGCATAAGTTATAAATGTGATTAAATATTCTCCACTTGCTTAGCTGAGTGCAACTCCAACAATATCAGAAGGGTCTGCACCATCTAGGACAAAGTAGCCTCTTGATCAGCTTTACCTTCAACATTCATTTCTTCCACCAACGACTCTCAGAAACAGCTATGAGTACCATCTACAAGATATGCTACAGGAATCAACCACGACGCCTGTGACAGCACCTCCTGAACCCGTGGCCTCTACCACTGAGCAGGACAGGAAGAGCAGGCACCATCATGTGCAAGTTTCCCTCAAAGTCACACATCCTCCTGGGCTGGTGTGGCTCTTCATTCATCTTTGATGGGTCAAATCTCTGAAACATTCTCCATAATAAACAGTTCAAGAAGGTGAAACAACGACAGATTCTCAACGGACAACTAGAGATGGGCAACAAATAGCAGCCTTGCCATCAACACTTATATTTTGATAACAAAGAAATAGATAAAACCCTGCTTGTGATTTACAAACTCTGGATAATTGATGCAGACATGTACATCATATTAACCTGGAGGTAATTTGTACGCAGTGAGTGATATGGTGCATGCACAGTTTATGGTGCCAAATGTTTAAGTCTAGCTCTCCTTCAGCTTATATTTTCTGGCTGTCACCCTAGTTGGTGTTTTTCCAAGACCCCCACTGTTAAATGCATCTGGCCAACTCACTTCTCCAAAGTGGCTCAATGTACATTTCCCAATACTTCACAATCTATGACCATCATTCCATGGGCTCCTAATTGGAGCACTTTTCAGTGGGAATGGATGGCTGGGATGAGAATAGAGGGTTCAGGTTGGAGGACCATCCATTAATGCACACAAATTGACAGTCTACACATTGGCTACCTCATGCGCCCCACCCTTTACCGTCTCACCAGCCCCAAACTAAGTAGTATAGGGAGGGTTCAGGGGAGCGTTGAAACTGAATTACTTTGGGGTGATGAAACAGGCATGAGTAGATCTGCTGAGCTTTATAAAATCCCAACCTATTTTCTTCTCCAGTGACGTCTAAGATTAGGAAATCAGAGTGCATTTGTTATCAAGTGGTAGACAGTGATCCTTTGTTGGGAGGAAAAGCGAGACAGAGTAGAAGCAAAAAAAAACCTCATATGAAGGACAGATGGTAATGCTGCCCATGGTTGATGAGGTATGGATACAAAGCACATGCAGTAGACTGTAAAACCGAAATTTCTGCCCTGATGCAAAGTAATTTTCAATGAGCCAAAAGTGCAAAACTTCATCAGTGTTTGGTGAATTGGTAAAGTTGTTATTGTGGCCTGAATGGTCATTTGTGTAAATGGATATTCTATACGCAGATGCCATGCCAACTGGACCAATGCAGTCTTAGGAGATGGGCACAAATGACTGCTGAAGCCGAGAAGACGATCAAGCCGTGACAATCCAAAATGTTTTTGTGTCCAACAACTTGAATGAAACTATCTTGAGTTGAAAGTAGACGTTGCTGTTTTTTCAATTCTTCATTCTGTGGTTGTGTTGGCATTTATTGTCCCTCTACTGTGCTGAGCTTCTTGTAGATGTTTGAAAAAACTAAGCACTTATTAGGCCACTTTAGAGGGAAGCTCAGAGTCAATCAGGTAGATCTGGGACTGGAGTCACGTAAAAGCCCAGAATGGGCAAGGATGGCATGAGTAAACCAGCTGGATTTTTATAGCAATTGTGGCAACATTTTGTAACAGCTTTGATTTCCAAATTTTTGAAGACTGAATGGGGCTATTAACGAAAGAAAATCATGTATTTCTGTAGTGCCAGCTCCCATCATAACCTCGGACATCCCAACACACTTATAGCCAATGAAAAGCATTTTGAAAATGTAGTCAAGGTAGCAATGTTGGAAATATGGTAGCCACATTGCACAAAAGATATTTGCTCAGATTACACTGGTATAAAATTCAAGAGACGTTTTAGAAGATACCAATTGCTCTCCTGTGGCTTGACACACAAATCCAGAGGGTTAGATGCCAAGACATAATGGACCTGGGTGTGTCAATAGTGTTCAGCCTGCGAATTTAAAGTCATGTATTCTGTTGTCTGGGCACATTTTCTGAGTTGTTACGTTCACATTAAAAAAGGAAACCATCTATGCAAACTAATCAAATAAAAGTAAAATGCTGTGGATGTTGAAAATCTGAAACAAACACAGAAACTGCTGCAGAAATTCAGTAGGTCTGGTACCATCTGTGGAGCAAGAAACAGAGTTAATATTTCAAATCCAGTATGACTATTCTTCAGGACATTTACTCTGTAATTGTACCCTCTCACTAGCAGTGATGTTCTGCCATGCCCTAACTGGCAGGAAGGGGTAGCAATAAGGGCTCTGCCAATTAAGATGGAGAAGGAGGAAGATATTTTTTCTCTGTTTGGAATGCTGTTGAACAGAGGCCTGTGCAGGCTGGATACAGAATCCCTACAGCGTGGAAGCAAGCCATTTGGCACACTGACTCCACACCAACGCTCCAAAGAGTGGCCCACCCAGAGCCACCCCCTCTACCCTATCCCTGTAACCCTGTATTTCCCATGGCTCACTGAATATCATTGAATATATTCAAGGCTGGGTTACACAGATTTTTCATCTGCAAGGAGTTAAGGATTATAGAAGGGCCACTGTAAAGTGAAGATCAGGGCACAATTATATCAGCCATGACATAGGCAGCACGGTGACTCAGTGGTGCCTCAAAGCGCCAGGGACCAGGGTTTGTTTCAACCTTCGGGCAACTGCCTGTGTGGAGTTTGCACCTCCTTTGTGTCTGCTTTGACTTCTTCCGGGACTTTCAGTTTCCTCCCACAGTCCAAAAATGGGCATGTTAGGTCGATTGGCCATGGTAAATTGTCTGTGGTACCCAGGGATGTGCAGGCTAGATGGGTTAGCCATGGGAAATGGGGTGGGGAGGTTACAGGAATAGGATGGGATGGTCTTTGGAGGGTCGGTGTGGACTTGATGGCCGAATGGCTTCTTTCCACTCAGTAAGGATTCTATGGTTTTATTGAATGGCAGACCAACCTCAGGCAGGGGACAATTTTTTATCAATGACTGTTTTACGGGAATTGGGTGTCGCTGTCTAAGCTAGCATTTATTGCTCATCCTTAATTGTCCAGAGGATAGTCAAACACATTACAGTGGTTCTGCAGTCACATGTAGACCAGACCAGTTAAGGTTGACAGATTTCTTTCCCTAAAGGTTGTTGATGAACCAGATGGGTTCTTTTTATGTGATCCACATTTGGCCAGCTTTTATTCCACATTTGTATTGAATTCAAATTTCACCATTTACCATTGTGGGAGTTGAATCCATTTCACAAGAACATTAACTTGGAATTCTAGGCTACCAATCCAGACACATTACCACTATGCCATCACCTCCCCTGTGAACTACCCTTACTCATATTTCTTACTGTCTTACAATAGCCTGTTATCACATGACCCTGGATTTATATTGGAATGATGTTGACAAGCGTTGTCCAAAGGCATAAAATTTTTAATACACTGATACAGACTTTAATCACATTCATTTTCTTGTGAGCTTTCTTCTTGCTCTTTCATCTTGTTCAAGACCATCACAAGATTTTAGAAGCTACTTACTTCTGGGGAGTGTGAAACAGGCGCGAGGTGTTGGGTCCCAGCATTTGGCAACAGTCAGCGTGATGGGTCTTAAGAAAACAATACCCAGATGTTAGGACTCCCACAAACCAAGAGAACAAAAGCCTGCTCAACATTCCAGCAACTGAAAGGTTAAGTGAAATTTCAGGATTTCAGCATTTGTTCCTCTTTGAACAGCCTGACGGGTGCTGATTCATGAATAAAAGGACCTTAGAGAAACAGATGAGCTGCATCCATTTTCTGCCACGTTGCATACAGCATATTTAACACATTTCACTGCTTTATGTTTCAGTGAACATTTTAAAAGAATACTTATTGATTTCCCGTGGGATTGCACATGGAGATTTAAGACCAAAATGTTTCTCCCTTCGCTTGCTGTTATATTACCCCATGACAACATTAAAACCCAAAGAAATGAAAAACTTGCATTTCTGTAGCACCATTCACAACTTCAGGACATTCCTGAGACCCTCTGAAATGTAATTACTGTTATTATGTAGAAAACGTGGCAGACAAATAGTACAGAGCAACTCCCACAGACTACCTGAATATAATTATCAGAAACTTGGTTTTTAGTGAGGTTGATTGATGGATAGATGTTAGCTAGGGCATTAGGGACTGTGGGGCTTTTGTTTTTGTTCACCATAGAATGCAGGCCAGGCCATGGATTAACTTCCTCATCTGAAAGACAACACCTTTGACAGTGCAGTACTCCTTTAGCCCCGCAATGGATTGTCACCCATGATTGTGTGCTCAAGCCTCTGGAATGGGACTTGTAATCCACATCCGTCAGACTCTGAGATAACAGCATTACCTACTGAGCTAAGGCTGGCACCTTAATCAAGTCCGTGACCACACCATGGAATTACCCTCTTACCCTGGTTTGTGGACGATCTCTCTCAGAACTCGCACTGCGTCGTCATTGCTCATGTTCTCAAAGTTGATGTCATTAACCTGACATGAAGGAAAAGGTACAATTACTCATTCTGAGAAAATTGGCTGCCTCAGGAAGGGCAGTACTACTGAGGTGAACCCAGCATTCACTTATCAACTTTTCAGCAGGGATTATTTGGTGCTGATCAGATGCAGTAACTCTAATTCCCCTTGCCAATTCTCTGCTCACTTTCTTGAAGGCGCATCCTTCTTTCTGTAATACAGAAATTACATCAGGGCAAATGCAAAATTACGTATATGTGCAATAAGGGCGCCTGGAGGAGACTTGGCTCAGGTGGTGCGAAGAAAAATAAAGCTATCGCGTTTTTAATAAGCTCAGTACGTCACTTAGCAGCATAGCACTTTGCAACTAATGATGTACTTTACAAGTGCAGCCATAATGTAAGAATATAATAGCCAATTTGCACACAGATCTCTATTGCTGCGCTTGTTTATTTTAAACTCTCAGTAATTTAGTGTTATTTTTAATAATTTATGTGACTCTGTACCATGTGGATGCCACTGTTTCTCTCTCCCACTTTTGTCACATAATTTTCAAGCATCTAATCATAACCTTTGACTAAAATGTATCACCTCACACTTATTTGCACTGAAGCTCATTTGTCAACTTAATCCCCTTTCTGCAAGTTTATTAATGTCTTTCCTGTATTTCTGAAGTTCCCATAAAATGCAATGACCTGATCCGTTGACAATCATGACATTGGTTGATTTGTACTCAAACTATAGCTCATTTAGCCCAAATGCTCGTGTTTCTTCCTCCCATGTACCTCAAAATCCTGGAGTTCTCTCACTGGTTCAGTGACATTACCAATGTGCCACCAATTGTGACAGCTTATGGAGTAATGGGGATTGATTTCCAGCACACTCCTCCCATTAATATTGTGACGTTTGTGACACATGCTGTCTCTGATTTCAGATTAGCGTCCCATCATCGACAGGCCCCCTCTCCCCTAGCTGGGTGAGCGTGACCCAGGGACCCACCTGCAGTAACATGTCTCCAGGCTCGATTCTGCCGTCTGCTGCCACGGCCCCTCCCTTCATAATGGACCCAATGTAAATCCCTCCGTCGCCTCTCTCGTTACTCTGCCCCACGATGCTGATTCCCAGGAAATTGTATTTCTCTAAAAGGAAGCATGTGGATGTCAAAGTTAGCACTTACAGTACAGAAGCAGAACAGAATCCCTACAGTGCAGAAAGAGACCACTCAGCCCATTGCATCTGTACTGACCTTCCAAAGATAATCCAACCCAGGCACAGCCCCTCATCCTATCCCCGTAACCCCACCTTTCCCACAGCTAATCCACCTAGCCTGCACATCCCTGAACAATATGGGCAATTTAGCATGGCCAATCCACCTAACCTACACATCTTTGGACTGTGGGAAGAAACTGGACCACCTGGAGTAAACTCACACACACAGAGGGAGAATGCGCAAACATTCAGCCCAAATGGTTCATGTCGGTATGTATGTTCCTCACCAGCCTCCTCCCACACTACTTCATCTTACCCTCTCAACATATCCTTTGATCTCTCTCTTTCTGGTGTGTTTATCAACCTTACCCAGAATGCATCTTAGTCCCAACCACTACCTGTGGTAATGAGTCTGCACTCTCAAAGCCCTCTGCATTAAAACAATGTTTCTCCTGAAGTCGCTATTGGATGTGTTAGTGATTAGCTTATTCTTATGGCCCCCTAGTTCTGGTCTTCTAACAAGTAGAAACATTTTCTCTACACTGACCCTGCCAACAACTTGCATGATTTTACAAGCTTCTATCTCATCATCTTTTAGCTCAACAGAAAAGAATCCAGCTGTCCAATTTGTCTTGCTGATTAAACCTTCTCAGTTTCTGGCATCACTGAAGCAAATTGATTTTGTATCTACACCAATGCCTCTCTGATTATGTGTGGTCTGAATAATTTTCTATACCAATATAATACAACAATGTCTGCTTTTCAATTCTCTCTCCAGAAAGGATCTCTATAGCTGCGCTTGTTTATTTTAAGCTCTCAGTAATCTAGTGTTATTTTTAATAATTTATGTGACTCTGTACCATGTGGATGCC